TGAGATGAGAGTGGTAATTAGGAGCATGGTAATTATGACGACGGTGGTGTGTGCAATATTGTATGCTCAATGAGATCACCAGTGCTGTGGACAAGGAACCATCTCTTAATTGGTGGCTTGTGTGGATCCCACAACAGTGGGACATGGATCTTTTTTTGCATCTCTGGGCACTGCCACAGTAAATGAATGATACACGTAAGGACAGTAAAACCATAGTAAGAGCCTGTAGGTAGGGAATACTACTGCAAAAAGAATTTATGTCCTGATTTAACATCTCTGAAACATCCTGAATGCTTGTTTAATCTTAAATTATTCAGATGCACATTCTTCCTCTTGCCTTTTTAATATGGCACTGCTTTTTCTACTCATTAATATCATTAAATATCTATACTATGTGTAATGATTACTTTCCATTTACATTTGGATTACATTGCCATACAACTAGCAAGAATATTCCATAGTGTCTTGGTAGCTATGACACCATTCAGTAAGTGGGGAGCAATGAATTCCATGCTTAAATTTAATGTAAGCATTTATTTCTCATTTTGATTCCAAATCTATGTACCACTTTGCTGCAGGGCTATCAAAAAGCTGCTACATTCCACCTTATGTGGTAAGGAAATTAATTGGCTTATGTGTAGTCTTAAAATAATAATTGTTTTCCATTAACATATTAAAAAGAAGTTGTTTACTTTTAATTATGGGTATGAAACTTTCCTTTTTAGGTCTTCAGACACTAAAGATTTTGGTGTGGGTACAGCTGAATTGGAAGTTAAGTTATCCTTACACAAAGGAAATTACCTTCCTCTCTGGCTCTGCACATGAGTTTGTGTGTCCCTGGTAGCCTTGAGGCAATAAGCCTGGAAATCTTCCAGCTTCATCCTATGCTGAACTGAAGGCTGCAATGGACTTGTAAGCAAATTCGAGCAGGCACCTCTTGAGAGTGTCTAGGATTACTGACAGGAACACTGTTATATTTCTCAGATGTTTTAAAAGACAGATATTTTGTACAGATTATTCCCTTATTCCTCAAACTGAAAGGAATATAATCATTCTTCAGAGTTAGTTGCACAGGACAGAGAAATCTGGGTTGCAATCTTATTTATTTTCTTTTTTAACTTTTCTATGATCTGTCTGCAGTTCATTGACCCAATGCAAATTAGAAATTAAACTGATACCCACCACTCCTCTCTCTGCTGGCCAAGGTGAAACCTTTTCTTGTGTGTTTGTTTAAGCTTTTGAAAGCTTTTAGTTCAGTTCTTTGTGGGAAAAAAAAAATTAAAAAAATTAAAAAAAAAAAACAGAAACTGAAATAAAATTACCAAAGGGTTGTTAAATTGAGAGGCCATGAGTGTGTGGACAAATCAGTGTTTCCCCCTACCTGTGCAAACAGGTTTTGGGGCTGCGCTGGGCCCCCCTGCCTGGGCACAGACATTTTCACTTTCAGAACTTGTAATTCAAGCTCCTTGCCATAAAACCAGGAGTTAAGAAGGGTGATTGTTTCTCTCTAAAGCCTTTTGGGAAAGCAAGAGGTTCCATGGCTGGGGCTGCCCTGGGAAGGCAAGTTCTGCAGCGCAGTGGTTGTTGTCCCAACGCAAAGGGATAAAGAAGCAGATGGTGCTGCCCTGCCCCTGGGCACGGCCTCAGGCATCAGCCTGCTCCTTTGGATGTCAGAGCAGACAAGCCCATGTTTGTGTAGCTCTCCATCTCAGACCTTTGGTGCTAATTTAAGATTTATTCACATGCTGTTAGTTTTGGTGTGAAATTAAGGAGTGAAATAAATCCGGATTAAGAAGGCTTAATTGCAGGATAGAGGAGGTGAGCAGGGACTCCAGGTCAGCTGTGGGTGCTCTGATTTTCCTCTAAAGCTCAACAGTGCATCAAACTGGGTGTTTTACTGAGATGTTACCGTTTAGTAGGTATTTAATTTCATGGGTTAGGTTTGCATTCAGTGTTGGGGAGGAGTTAACACCCCAAAAATCACTGCTATGCTTGGCTACATTTAGTCGTCTTGTTGAGAGATTCTGCAGAGCTGGTGACTGAACTCGTCCTGCTTTTTGGAGGAAACAGCCTGTGTGATGTGTTATTTCAGAGATAGAGATTTTAATGTGGTCAGCTTTCCTCCAGATCAGTTAATATATCAGACGTTTGCAAGTGACAGATTCTGCTAAACACAAAAGAGCATTTGTATCAGGATTGGAGCTTCCAAAAAGGGAAGAAAAAAAAAAAGTCAAAAAAGAAAAAAAAAGCAGTGCTGGATTAATTGGAAAGGTCTAGACCAGTCACATTCCCTCCCAAATGGGTCATTCGTTTTGATGCCTGCTGCTATGTAGCATCTGAACTTAAAGCCTTCAAAAACTTTGTTGAAGTGAGAGAGACAGAGGCAAGCTGGCTAAACTCGAACAAAACTCCCAGCCATTTATGCTTTTATGGTGAGGCTGCTTTCTCTTGTCATGATATTTATAGTCCCTCATTAACTTCTGCTTTATGCTCACCTATATGAATGTTTCTGAAGGTAGTAGGCTGATTAAAAATAAAAATCCATGAACGTGGAACAGGTGCTAAGTGCACGTGAGTGACTGTGCAGTGGCTGCAGGCCCATTGCCCATGTCTCCTGACCATTCCTCGTGTCCCCTGACCATTCCCACCTGCCCACAGAGGTTGGGAGATCAGCAGCCTGTGGCTGCTGCATCCCAGGTGCTTTGATGAGGAATCACCTGGCTCCAGTTAAGCAAACCCAATCCCCATGAGCCTTCCACTTTTGGACTGGCTGAAATTGGGTGAGCATTTTAAATTATTTTATTTAAATTTTAATTTCCATCAGTGCCTTTTTTTTTTTTTTTTTTGCTGTTGAGAATGAGAAAAGGAAAAATAAATTGGATAGGCTGTTTTAAAGACATTTCTAGTGATAAAAGCATAATCCTAGAAGATTCTCTTAAGAACTACCTGCTCAGTTATTAAGACACAAAAATGCAGAGACACACCTGAATATCTGGCTGCTTGCCTTTAGCAAATCTTTAAGTGAAGCTCAGTATTTTCAGACTTTCCCATCGCTGTCTTCTAGATGGTCTCATCTCTGTTTGTGAATTGTATCAACAGCACAGGACAAGTCTCTGGGCATCTGGAAAATGGTTATAGTTGTTCCTGTATTTTATTTTTTTACTCAAAGGGGAAAAAAAAATCTGGATAACAAGAGGGCAGATGTGTAGTAACTGAAGCCTTTTCCTTTTTGCCGGGATCTGATGTGGGATTGGGTGCATGGAAGCAGCAGAGGAATGTCCCTGTGCAACACCCCCCTCCCAGAGGCAGTGGGAGCCTCTGCTGTCCAGCTGGGATCTGCCTCCTTGACCTGAACTTGTCATTGCCCTCTTGATGGGCCCATTCCTGCTGCCT